CCCCCCCATCTTTATTTAGGGCCCCCACGGGCATGGGGGGGTTTATTAGTTTTTTATTTATATTTTTTTTACAGTGAGCAGCTATAAGCTGCTCACTGCTTACTACACATGCCCCTACTCGCGATATAGCGAGTAGGGGCATATTATTTACTAATACAAAGTAATCTTTACTTAGTATTAGTAAAGTTGGCTGTTAGACCAATTTAGGTCTTTCAGCCTTTTAGTAGATAGCTCCCTGATACCGTGGGAATTAGGGAGTTATCTACTAAGCGGCTGCAAAATGCAGCCACAGCAATGAATAGGATCAGAGTTTCATTCATTAGAATGAAATTCCGATCCGAATAAAATGCCGAATTGCGTTCTAAAAGAAACGAACATACTGTTGTCATTCAGTTAGAACGCAATTCGGCAGTTTCATGTAAAATGACAGGAAGCATTGTGGGAACACTGAGGAAAGCTAGGGATCATGGGAAAATTGATCTGACCAGCGGAAATGAAGCACACTTTGCTCCTCCGCTGGTCAGAGCTGGTCAAGCGGAGGAATCCTCCATAAGGCAAAGAGTCCCTACTTTGTCTTATGATTTTAAAGAAAACTAAAGAAGACAGGAAGAAATGAAGAACAGATCCTGAGAGAGGGGGAGAAGAGGAAGAGATTGAGGAAAGGTAAGTTCGGCATGACAGTGCCGCTTTAATGAAAGTGGAATGAAAGTTTTTGAAAGGTTGGTTATGAGTGAAGTAAAGAAAATCAATAAGCCTAAATATAATAATATTAGTTATCAACAAAGGAGAGCAATGAAAGAGTTACAATCAGATACAAGTATAGTTATTAAACCCGCCGATAAAGGTGGGGGTATAGTGATTCTTAATAAAGATCAATATTACTCAGAAATATACAGACAACTTAACGATACCACTACCTATAAAGAACTGAAGAGTGATCCCACTAGTCAAATTAGAAAAGCATATTCAGAACTTTTGGATAGGGGTAAAGTGCTGGATATCCTGAATAAACATGAATTTTTTTATTTTTTTTAAATTCTTTATTTTTGATTTTTTAGATGTATATTATATGGAAATACAAAAGATCTTGTGTGTAGCAAGTTAATATAACAATATCGTTCAACAGCATAGTACATGGCATTCTCTTTTCAGTATGGAGGATAGGAATGTTTTAGAGTCATATAAACCGGAGACCCATTGGTATGGTACCACAGTCTGGGGTGAGTGTTATTTTCCCTTACTTGGGTTGTGCCATCTACATGTATCTGGGCTTCTTTAGTGGGCAGTCAGCTCGACCCTAACCATAGGATTTGTTGTGTTTTGGGTCCCAGACTCAGACCCTGTTTAGGTAGTGGTGTCTAGTCGAGTATACTAATTCGTGGAGTAGCAAGTAAATGAGAGTCGTTGCTTTTGACATTCGGTACTGGATTGTTTGTTTTTTGGATAAGTGCAGTGTGATATATCCCAGGAGTAGTGGGGTTTTTACTTGCTTTTACGGTGGGGGTCCCAGTTCCTGCAGTGTATGTTGTGGTACAGGAGTGGTGTGTCAGAGAGGTGTGCCGTTGGATTTTGGGCTTGTAGTTTTTGGTGTCTGTTGTGTGGTGTATTCTATTATGAATGCTCGTTTACATTTGCCTCTCTCTGAGTGTCCCATCCTGTCTGTAGTCGTGTTTGAGGTTGTGATTGGGTCTTTGATAACAGTAGTAATGGCATTACATATGAATAAACCAGAGAGCGGAAAGAGAGAAGAAAAAGAGAACAAAAAACATTAAAATAAAATTATAGAATAGAATACATTAGCAATTAGGAGCACTTGTTTAGCCTTCAGTTAGTGCTGGTAGGGATTTGCTGCCTGGAAGTCCAAGAGATCAGTCCCGGGTGTGCCCTTATGGGCGGTAGTTGGCCTCCCCTCCCTGCCATCGCGGCTAGGTTACCCCTGGGTTGGAGAGTCCTATGGGTGGTCTTTCCACTCTATTGGGTGTGCGTCTCCGGCTAGTTTCTTTTTCCCCTGTGGGGTTCGCGGTTGACTGGGCTGTCACTGCTGGCCGTGTCGCTGGAGGTGGTGCCGGCAGGTCAAGGCCTCTCAGGAACTCAGTGTGGTCCTCAGAAGCCGAAAGAACATGTACAGTGTCCCCATGTGGTACCACCAGTGTTCCCGAAAGTCCCCATCGGTATCTAACGCCTTTGTCTCGAAGGATCCGGGTGGTGGGTGCGAACCTACGCCGTTCAAGTAAGATTGCAAAAGGTAAGTCGTCGTATACTGTGATTTTCGTATTGGCTATGAGCAGACTTGGTCTTTGTCTGGACCGTGCCATTATAGAGGACTTCACGTTGGTGTCTCTGGTGGTGGCTATGATGTCCCGGGGGGCGTCCGCGGGTGCCGTGGGGGCCTTCCGGACCCTGAAGGCTGTCACTATTGGCGGTCTCTCTGCGTCCGTCTGGACTCCGAGTTCTCTCAGGACCTCGTGGGTAAAGCTGATCAGAGCTTCTTGGCCTATTGACTCTGGGGCCCCACGGATCCTGATGTTTTTACGTCTGTGCCGTGTCTCTAGGGAGGTGACTGTGCGGGAGAGGCGCTGTACTTGTTGGGTGAGTGTATTTAAGCTTCTTTCCCCTCTCTACTTCCCTGCACTCCACTTCTTTCACACGGCGGTTCAGGCCTCCGACCTCCTCCTGTACTCCAGCGAGGTCGGCTTTCCATACCTCCCTCAGATCCCGCAGGAGGTTTTTAATATCTCCCTTGGTGGAGGGGGATTTGTCTGAGTCTGATTCAGACCTCTGGTATATCCCGCTGCTGGGATTGGGTGCTTGGGATGTCTCTTCATCCAGCGATCGTTCAGAATCGCTGGAGCTGCGTGTTTCCACGGGCGCCATGTTTGGTCGGGCCTGCGGCTGCGGCCTGGTGAAGGACAGTCGGATATCTGTGTGACTGTTGCTCTCGGCTTGGGCAAATCTTCGGTGTTTGCGCCCCATCTCTCTCTTGGGGGGTTCCCTCAGGTGTCGGCAACATTAAAATTTGCTCTCTTTTGTGGCAAAATAGACAGTTTTGCACTTCTAGAGCGGGAGCTCAGTAAAACCTCGACCGCTCTGTAGCTCGGCTGGCCACGCCCCCCCATAAACATGAATTTTTATATCTCGATGTTTCTTCTTGCAGGATTCCAGTACTTTACATACTTCCAAAAATACATAAAGACCAAAAAAATCCACCAGGTAGACCTATAGTGTCCGGAGTTGGGTCACTTTTAAGTAATCTTTCTGAGTACGTGGATAAACAACTCCAACCATTGGTAATATCACAGCCATCATACTTAAAAGACTCTACCTCTTTACTGACACTCTTGATGGACATACGATGGGAGAACAACTATCTCCTAGTAACATGTGATGTTACAAGTTTATATACTTGTATATCGCATGTTTTAGGCTGCGAAGCGGTAGAGTATTTTCTAAAACAGCAAAGCGATATGAGACAAGAACAGATTATATTTATTATGGATAGTATTAGACTTATCCTTAATAATAATTATTTTTGGTTCGATGAAAATTTTTTTTTACAGTTAAAAGGTACCGCGATGGGAACCAGATTCGCGCCCAGCTATGCCAATCTTTTTATGGCACGTTGGGAGAATCTTTTTCTCTCAGATGACCGCTGGGCGCAGAATCTGGTTCTCTATCGTAGGTACATTGACAACATTTTTTTCATTTGGCAAGGAGATGTAGATTCACTTCGATCTTTTATTGATTTTTTAAATTGTAACCATTCAGACATACATATTACAAGTGAACATAGCACTGAGGGCATTAGCTTCCTCGATTTATATGTATATATTGAAAATCAAACTATTCAGACTAAGACCTTCTTTAAGAAAGTCGATGTCAATGGGTACATCGACACTTCAAGTTGTCATTATGGCCCATGGCTACATAATATGCCTAATAGCCAATTTTTGCATCTATATAAGAACTGCAGTGATCCAAAATTATTTGATGAACAGGCACAGTTTCTAAAAATTAGATTAATTGAGAAAAATTATGATGCGAAGGTTTTAGATAATTTCATTAATAAAACCAAAGAAAAAGAACGTAAGGATATTTTAACACAAAGTAACAAGATATCTAATGTGAAAAAGAAGGAAAGTTTCCTAAATATCCCAATTGTTCTAAACTACAATGAAAATGCAAAACAGATAAAACATATTATTAACAAATATTGGTATATCCTTAAATCAGATCCAACTCTTAAGAATATCATAGGAGATAAACCAACTATAGTATATAGAGGTGCAAAAAATTTGAAACAACATCTAACGACTAGTTTTATTAAAGATAAAAAAGATAACACCAAATTCTTTAACATTGATCCAGGTTTTTATCCCTGCAAATTATGTGTCGCATGTAAAAAAACTTTATTTAAAAAACAAAAAAATACCTTGTTCACCTCCTACCATAATCAACATACGTTCCCTATCCGTCAAGTTTTGACGTGTCATTCCACTAATGTTATATACCTCCTCTGGTGTCCATGTGGTCTGCAATATATAGGAATGACTACTAGAGCATTAAAAACTAGGATTGCGGAACACGTGGGCAATATCCAGAGGGGGTATATGAAACATAGTGTTTCAGCACATTTTGCTGATAAACATAGAATTGATCCATCTGTACTATCTTTTATGGCTATTCTTAAAAAAGATAAAAACTGGAGGGGTGAGAATAATGTAAAGGAGTTGGCAAAAATAGAAAGCACATGGATTTTTGATGTAGATTGTCTATTTCCAAATGGATTAAATTTAGATTTTGAGTTTTCTCATTTTTTATAATTTTTTATAATTTTTATATTAGTTTTTTTCTATATATTAGACCTTTTTTATTAAGTATTCTTATTTATTAGTTATACTTCTTTTTTGGATTATATATTTTATTTATTATTTTTTACTTTGCTCTATTATTTGCTAACCCCTAGATCCTCCCCTTACTTATACAGATATATGTTAAAGATAAGCAACAGATATATGACAAGCCAAATATTTAATTATTCTGTGGCTTTATATTTGTTTGTTTTTTTATATTTATATATACTTTTCTCTTCTCATTATGAGCTCCTTTTGAAAACGTAAGTCTCTTTCCGATACCGGAAATAATGGAACGTTGTATGCGTTCCATTATGCGTTCCAATTGATGAAACCGGAAGTGACATCGTCCGAAAATACCGGAAGTGACGCATACGGAAGAAAAACTGCACACAGGTGATTGAAAATGCCGGATGCATTTAAAACAAGCCACGAGGACTTGAGGAACAGCACTGGAAGAAGGCTACCAAGCCGAAACGCGTTTGCTGCTATTGACTGCTGCTATTTACCACTTGTATTGTAATTTTTAATTTTCTTATACTACTCCATTGGTTACTTTGGTTTGGGTAAGTGGATACCTTTTTTTTACATATTATCTGTTATTGGGTTCCACCCCCTTATAACCAGGAGTTTGTTTATTATTATTTTTTATAAATAAATATCTTTTTTACTACAGAATTTTTCCATTTATTATCCGGAATCCTGTTAGCCTGAATTGGCACCTTTGAGCCTGCTACACAGAGCCTGGTACGGCTCTGGTAAATGTGAGTGGTTGTCCACCTTCTATTTCTACATATATTTGTAATATACAGTATACACTATGTTATGT